GTATTAGAATTATTTTTGACACGATACACGTTTATATGCCTTATTGAAATTTTGGGCATCCACAACACTTCTCTGTATGTTCTGCTTAGATCATTTAAGAAAACCTTGTTGAAAAAAATCTAATTTTTACTTCTTTGCTCAGAGGCCATCAGTATCAGTATCGCATATTAACTTGAACATATTTGCCTCTCGAACTTTTGTCAAATCTCATCAAGAATAAAGAGGGTTCTGGAGTCATTTCAAAACTCTTCTTTCCCTTATGAACTAATTATTTGAAAATTTTTGGGTCAAAACCTTTAACTCAGAACTGATCATTCATACACCCTAATAAAATGTTAAGGTTCAAACTGAAGAGCAGTAACCCGGGTTATTATGCCATGACCAATAGAGGAGCCAAACTAAAACGATTAAGCACAAATGCAGAAATCAATTAATGCTTAATATGTATGATTAATTAGATATTCTACTTATTCATCTTTTCTTTTTTATTAATTAATTTATGTATTCATTCATTCTTTTAATCAATATATCATTCATGCTTTCATTCAACCATACATTCATTTCTACATTTCTGTAAGCTTCTCTGCTTGTGTCATGGGTACTTCCTCTTTTATTTCCCATACTAAATAGCAATTTATCCACTCCCAAACCTACTACGGTATTTGACTGGGAACACAGCAAGACAAAATGTATGAAAAGTATAACATTTCATACTTTGTTGAGTCTGCGGTGGTAGACGTGAATGCCAGAATTATATAGAGACAAATTGGGTGTGTTTTGATACAAAATGCAGCAATTTGGTTAACATGAAGGCAGATGTTCTATCAAGCTAATATCGGCATGATTACTGTCATAACACTAGGGTGGTGGTTAAGGAGGATGAAGAGATGGAGACAGTGGGCTGTACCTGTCTGACTAAATCCGGCTGGTAATGCAGCCATTCTATCACCACAGACTCCCCCCTGTCACCCCAATGTGATTTCAGAAAAAAAATCCCTGGTTTATTCGTTCATAGTGCTCCTTCTCCGTATCGTTCTTCAAGACACATATATGGAAACACATTTTAGAGTGCATACATAACATGTTGGCAGGTTCACTTGGACAGCAGGTACTTTGTTACATTATTTAGAAATGTCAACCGACAAGGTTTGTTATTTTATAAAGAACTGCTGCTCAAAAACTTTATCAAAAGCTTGAACCTCAGGAATCTTATTCCTAAGCAAGAGTGGGGGAACAAGTTACAGGAGGTTTCTAGGGAAGAAAGCTCAGGAACTAAGGAGGGAGTTATCACAGAGGCTAATACTCTGGCACTGGAGAGCTGGCAGCAGGTTCCTCAAGTAGTCCACTACTTGATGGGGAAAGGGTGAAAAAAATCAACCTGCCACTCAGGGGAAAGGCGCTTGAGGAGGACCTCTGGAGGAGAAGCTGAAAACTGGTTAAATAAAGGAGGAAACTCCTAGGGAACAAGGAGAGGGAGCGATGGTAGATGTAGCTTGAAGAGCGCTTACTGACTGATTGGACGGATTGACAGAGAACTCATTGGAAGATTTCAGAAGGAAAGTTGGCAACAGGCTTAAGCTATTTTGTGACTGGATCAGGATGGCGGCTCAGGTGGAAGAGGATGAAGATCTGTGATAGGGATATGGATGATATGACAGCTGGATGCCATTCGCTAGTTACCAGGGAAGTGAAAAACTCAAAAGTTGTGAAGTGGCCAGAGGTTCTGAGAATTCAGGAAACATAAAATACCTGGAAGAAGATTGTGCTAATGAGGTATGCAGAGATGAAGATAATATCAAAATTAAAAAAGGAAGATGAAAATATTGCTCTGAGTCGAATCAAACTCTGAGAGATGGAAATCGTTTGCAAATCAGAAGAACAAAAAAGTAAAGCAACGATTGTTGAAAGTATCGGAAAAAATGAGTAGAAAGTTAGAGTGTTGGGAGAAGAGAAAATAAATTAAAGCATAACATCCATTATGTTATTGATATAAAGAGATTGCAGAAAATGGTAAACAATGAAAGAATTGACAGCTTATCTGTGCTTTTGGAATTTTCTACTCCAGAAGTTCCAAATAAAGTCAAAGTTGGTTTTCTGTGTTATCCAGTCAGGCCCTACATTCCACCTGTACTTCAGTGCTACATGTCACGAGGACTGAAGCTTGGACCCAATGTTCAGCAGACCAACAGAAAGTTTCAAAACAGGTTTATTTAAAAATAACAAAAAGAGGATGACGGAATCTCCTCAGAGCGGGTTCTCTTATTCTCTGCTGAGACAGGAAACTCAGGTCAGTTGCAAGAATGGAGAGTGGTAAAGACAACAAAGAGTCACTAACCTGGTTGAGAGTTCGGTCCAAAACTCAGAGAGGAGAAACCCGGAGGGACACAGTCCACCGTTTGCAGTCGTAGCCGCTTCTGAGCACAGAGTGCGGGGGCCGGCGCCAGCCGACACAGAGCAAGCAACAGTGTCCGTGAGGGATTATGCAAGGTCGAAAACCAGTCCAGTGCAGTGTCAGAAACCAGGTGTCAGAAACCGAGAACCAAAGAGGTATCCAGGGAGAATCCAAGCTGAGGTCAGAAAAACAGTCCAAGTTCGAGCAAAACCGAGGCAAAATCCAGGCAGTCAGGCCAAAAACCAAACTGAGCAGAGCAGACAGGGAAAAAGTCAAAAACCAAAAACACGGGCAAAAAACTGAGAAGAATTCCACAGAACAGAACACTTACTTTGATAGCTTGAGTAACTTACATTGACACAGGTTGAATAATCTGACGCTGATGGCAGGAGAGCAAACAGCCTAAATACCTGCAGGGACCA